GTTTATGCTATGACGGCCCAAAGAAAATGCTTGGAATGCAGTTTTTACGGTATTGATAACCATTCAATTGTTGTCGCACCAGTTTGCTAGTAGTTTAAGTGCACAATTAGGGCACTTTTTGTCCTCTCCTGAGCGTTTTTCTCGGGGGCGGAATACCATAGAACAAGATCATCTGCGTAAAGTAAGCACTTGATGCCCGTGACTGTCTGTACCAATTCGACTATGTCATTGAAGAAGACATTGAATTAGTGCAGCTTGTGACAGCTCCCTGTGGAAGGCCTGTTTTTAAAAGATTGGATTTTGATAGAGCATTTCCATATCTGACTTTACACGATCTTTGTATAATGAATGCTTTTATCCAATTTAGCATGTTACGCTTAATACCAATCTTTGCCAATTTTAGAATTAGCTTCTCTTTCCATACTAAGTCATATGCTGATTTGAAATCGACGAAAACAGCCGTAAGGGTATTTCGTGCATCAAGGGCATCTTTTTGGTGTTTTGGATGAAAGTGGCTACTTATTGGTTCTTTGATCTTTGTGGCCTGAAACTTGCTTGTTCACTTTTAAGAATATTGTTGATCTCAAGGTACCAGGTCAGCCTCCTGTTTACCATTCTTTCCATAAGTTTAGCCAGAACGCTTGTGAAAAAGATAGGCCTATAGTTGTCAAAGTTGAAAGGGCCTTTGCCCTTTTTAGTACTGGCATTACTAGGGCAACTTTCCATTGGTTAGTTACGAGACTGGTCTCCCAGATTTTGCTGTAATGCGTCAGCATGGTTTCCTTGAATTTCGGTCCATTCTGATTTGAAATACCAGATAAATACCGTCTTCGCCAGGAGACGTCTTGCACTTTAGCTGTTTTATCGCAGCATTAAGTTTGCAAGGTCTGAATGATTCAGAAAGTAAATTATTTGGTGTTGTCGTGTCTTCCTTAATTTCACCAAACGGTCTTACTTGTATCTTTAAATCTCTTGAAGATTTTCTGATAAAAGGGTTTTTCTTTCGCTTGTGGGATTAGAACCTCGCAAAACAATTAGCTATTTCGGAGTCGGTGGTAAGCAATTTGTTTTTTAAGCATATTGGTTCTTTCTTGGGTCTTTCTCTGTTGTTTTGGAGGTTACTCAGGAATTTGAAAGTGTTGGTTCTTTCTTGGGTCTTTCTCTGTTGGTAAGCGTATTGGTTCTTTCTTGGGTCTTTCTGTGTTGTTTAGCGGTTCTTTCTTGGGTCTTTCTCTGTTGTTTTGCAGGTCTCCAAGACATCGTGGGTCTTTCTCTGTTGTTTTGGAGGTTACCCAGGAATTGGTGCGTTGGATTGTTTTGGAGGTTTCTCAGAAATTTGAAAGTGCGTTGGTCATCACTTTGATAGAGATGAACTTGTCGAAGGAAGTTCGTTTAGCTTGTAAGATTGTATCACTTTGATACTTGATATTTGAGATGAACTTGTCGAACGCTTTGATAGTTGATATTCGAGATGAACTTGTCGAAGTAAGTTTCATAGTTGATATTTGAGATGAAGTTGTCGAAGGAAGTCCGTAATAGCTGATATTTGAAATGAACTTGTTGAAGGAAGTCCGGTTTAGTTGATATTTGAGATGAACTTGTCGAAGGACGTCCGTTTTGCTTCTAAGATGGCTTGCCTTAGGACAGCTGATTGTCGTCTCCAGGTTTGTACGCGTTCTTCCAGTCTGATCAGCAGTTTTGCGAAGGGCGTCTTGTCGTCTCCAGGCTTTTACGTCTTCCGTTCTTCCAGGTCTGATGCCTTTGTTGCGAAGGGCGTCCCACTTTCTTTTCAGTTCCTCAAGGTGCGAAGGGCGTCCCTATTTCTTTTCAGTTCCTCAAGGTGTTTAGACCAAAACACTCGATAGTGTTTAGTCTTGCCTCTGGGAATAGTTTTCTTTGCACACCTAATCACACACATTAGTTTGATTTAGCTGAGTGCACTTAAATCGCATTATAATTTACTCGATAACCCTACTTCATTCAATTTTCATTGGATCGACTTTCCATTTCTTCCAGTCCTCGTGCCAACATCTGCATAGCATGACCTCGTCATTATTCTCACTATAAAAACTCAAATCCTCATTGTGACATGAAACATAATTGAATTCATGCTGGAGGTGGCAATAGAAGGGAGCAAAACTACTCCTCAAATGGTTGTCAACGTGGTCAATATTTGACAGAACATTCATTTTAGGATTTGGACTGTTTTAATAATTTACTCTGTCAATCTATTGAAACCAATAGTAAAGATTGAATTTTTAAACGCAATTCCTTTGGATTTACTTGCCAAGCAAATTAAATTTAGAATTTAAATGTGATTGGAAAGTTTGTTGAGTAAATTGAAATGTGATTAAATATAGCAAACCTAATCAAACACTTTTATATCACAGAAGGAGTCATATGTAGTTGGTAACTTGAAAGAGTTACAACAATTCAAGCCCTGAGATGCGTTTATTGAACTCTATGAATATCACCACGCAAACGAGTATAAGGAATGTGGAGATTTGCATGTGGGATGAATTCGCTACAGCTAAAATTTCGGTGAAATATCGCATGAATGCCAAATTGTTTTGCACGAATCCTGGCAGCACCGACTTAACCATCCATTTGAGCAGTAAGATTCACCTATTTACTTGATGCAAAATGTAAGCTCTGAGAAGTTTGAATTTAACTTTTGATTTTCGATATTCAATCAGAGTGGTATACTGGAAGACTACTGCATATTGAACAACGATGGTGGACGAGCGTTTGAATCTGTAGCTGAACATGTGCTGTGCCAAGACGCGCTTGGGTACCTTTATAATTTTGCTCTACTGTTATTGATTTGAGAGAACCCTTGTTTCACCGACTTTATCATTCGTTCGAATAGTGAAGCCTAACTATATCACCCATGATAAAAGTCAGATGATCAGGGCACCTCACTACCGTTTACAATGTTTTGCTCATTTGAATTTAAATACTAATATGATGTTTTCTAAATTGGTATTTATAAATGTTTCGTCAATTTTGTTGGACTAATTAATAATGAAAATCAACTTTTGCTCTTTGTCAATTTGTGGGGATCTGGTTATGAAAAGTAGAAAACGTGTTACATGATTTGGACCAGGTTTCCTTTCAATACAGCTAAATTTTTAAAGTTAAACTGGAAAAGAATTTGACGAGTCAAACAGTTTACTAACAAACTGTAAGTTGACTTTTGAATTCGCACGTTAGTAGTATGATTATAACGCTACAGAACATTCCATCACCACACGTCGTTAACCACAGGCAACCTGGGCACTACTAATTGCACATAATCGAGTCCTCCAACTCTAATGTGACCTAATCGAACAGAGCAACACAGATACATAGAAAGGAAAGATATTCACAAAAGTGCTGATCATCACAATTTGGTCACATTAAATTTCGTCTTTTGCTATTTCAGAGCAAAAATGAGCATGCTAATCCTTTACCCTCTAACAATCACAATCTCCACCTACCGTCTAAATGATTTCGTTAGTGCCGAGAGATGTGGGAATGTGAGCTGAAGTTGTGTGTGTGAGAGCACCGTTGGCAGTGGCACGTTGTTGGGGTTGACATAACGAACATGATACCCTCCGATTGAAGATTAGAACTAACTCCACTGTCTTAGAATTTTATCATTCTCGCAGTTACTTCAACTTGGATGCAGTTGACATCATGATTGACATTTAGTTTGAATTAGGTGAATTTAGGAATAAAGTCATCTGCCTTGCAATTAAAAATTGATTTGGAAGTTAATGCGTTACTTTTGGAACATATTGGAAAAAAATTCTTAAATCTAGTAAGAAAATGGATTTACTTGATTGCAATGAATGTGATCACAAAAATTGCTCATTCCCCGACAAAACTACTTATTGATTAGACATTTGTAGTCATGATGGGAAACTACATGGAGGTTTGGAAATTAGTATGGTAAATTAGTATTGGATCGAACGAATATACTTCTAAGGACATCATATTTAATTCTTGTGCGTGCGATAGACTACCTCCACGTGGTGCTCCCTGGACAACGTTTACTCATATGTTGAAAATGTCCATAAACCGTCAATTGACTTCAGACTTCATAATGCCATGAACACACTGTATGTCATATTCGACCACATTGCCGATACGCATTCTATCTTTACTTTGCCTTTGCGTTCGGCTGTCTCTTTTACTTCTGTGAATCTCTCTTCCCTTTCTCACCCCTCGATTTTTTTGTTACTTTGATGTTCCGTCCCTCGGCGAAATCCGAACTCTTCTAAATTACTAATTATAAGTGTCAAAACGCCTCTCATTTGAAACGAAAATAAATCTTTTCTGATGATAAAGTGATTATTCTGAAATCTTCATTTTTTATTTATTTGTGCATATTGTTTCAATCAATTTGAATTTTGGCGACATCAACAATTGTAATAAAATAAGACAAGGTTTGAGTCACTGAAGTGATGATAATATTTATTTGTATTTTATTTGTCGAAGATCTCCATCATGGCTAATTTTGTAACTTGACTCTCATCTTTACTCTCTCAAGTTAAGTTTGGGTGCACTTCTGATACATTTATTGGCTCCTTGTATGGGCCCTATCTTGCACAATTTCTTTTATCGTACACGCAATGCCGCTTTAGTAGTTAATTGCTTTAAAATAGCAGATTTCTGTATTTATCTTGTCATCTTAATTTTATGCCTCTCTTATCGAATGACTGGGCAACCAATCGATCACATACATCTAGTACATATAAAACAAGGAACTTTCAATAATAATGAAGGAAGAGAACAATCCACTTGAAATCGCGCAGCCTCCCAACACTCCGACTNTAACTTAGAAAACTAGTTTCGTATAATTGTCAGAAGACAGTTTCAACGAGCCAATTTAAAGTCAGTTTAGCCTTCTAAAGGCGACAAATTGTTATCCTTCATCCCACCTTTCCATAAAGGTGGAAATAATTAGAGCCACTATTACAAAGGACTTTTGCCAGCACATTCATTTATTTGCAGGTGAATCAAAAAATTCGTCCAGCTACGGGCCATCCTACGCCCTTCCTTCCCCTTTCTTACCCTCTTCAGTAACACCACATGCTGAGAGCCCCATAATATCATCTTGGTCTGTCGCCTGACGTTTTGATCTCCATCCATTCCCCAATCCTAGCACGCCGGCCATAGGGTAGATATGACCACCAAGTCTAAGTAAATACACATACTTTGCTTGTGCCTGTGAGGCTAGAAATGAGGATCTGGGTAGAGGAAAAGCATCGAATTCAATTGGCTACTGAGAAAAAGACATTGACTAGCTGATATAATTAGGAATGCCATTGATTGAGAAGTAAATAAAAGGAGATAATGTACTTCATAACTCTGCTTCAAATATACGTGATATCCAGGTTGACTCAGACGAAGAGCCTCAATGTTCGTCCAGGGATAAATAAATTGTCTAATGAATTAGAATAGCAAAATGAATCACAAAATTGCACTTAGATGACATGCAATTATCAAATCGAACAATTGCTGCTGTTTACAAATGGCAGTATTTGCCCTGAGCTCATTTATAAACGTAAATGTAAGTCACTGCTTATTAACTCCGAAACCATACTGTTCAAGCACTAAGAAGAAAATCAATTGAAATTGTGTACTGCAACTAATACTGCAAGTAGCATTTAATTTGAAATATGTACGCAAACCAAATAACAAGAAGGCGGTTGTTCTTATTATTACTAATGGGAGGGCTTACAACATCGATTTTAATCATAAAACGACACATTTACACGTAGAAGAAATTCAACATAGATCGAATATGAATCCATAAAGAAAATATGCCATACCTTTCACTTCATATGTATTCTGGAAGTGGTGAGTTGTAATGCAAAATATCAGATCAGTAGCTTCATGTTAATGACTCAATTCTTGATTTCATAGATGAGATAGTGTCCCGAATAGCCGGAGTTAACAAATTAATTCCATTTGTTTTTTGTGCTATTTTAACACATTTTTGGCATTTGTCATTAACATTTAAAAGATAAGAGAGTACAATAACTTTGAAAAATCATATTTCACCCCTTATAAAATAAATAAAACTACGAAAACAAATTCTTCGCCATCAAAGAACCTACAATTACGGCATTATGCATTACACATGGTTGGGGAAATATGTGGCTGTAGAGTGAAGTTGGTGAGTGTAAATTTGAAGACAGATTTCAAATTAGAGTTCAGTCGATACTACTAGCTTGACTTTAAAATCTAAACAGTAGTTGTTACTTTCACTTTCGAGATGATAGAACTGTTAATTCAATTACCTCCAAGTGATGCATGTTTTATGATCATTCTTAATTCAACATTGAACCAACTGTTGTGAATAAATATTTCACCAAATGAATATAAGAAATGGCAGAAGATCGTTAGATTTTCAAATAAAATAGAAATCTTGTAATCAAAATTTCGTTCACATGATTTCCAAAAGGCAATTCTGACATGTTAAATAGCGACCTTGGAATTATGCACTTACCTTCACGTAGTCCATTGACGTGAGTCGGGATTGCATGCCAACAGTTCTTGAAGAAGGAAATCATTTCGAGAGGCATAAATGACTTAAAGGGTTTGCATTCACATCTTTTTCTACGCATCTACTGAAATAAAATAAGCATCCGTTTCTCACAGATTTAAGGAACACTAATTGATCAAATTAAGGCTTAAAGATATCGAAAAGGACAAAGAAAGCTAAGAGATAGGCAAAAAGTTTAAACATTATAGCCAGGCGATCGAAATGAGTCGTTAATATTTCACCAAAGAGGCATGCATGAAGGTGACATTGC